GGTATCGGACTGTGAGATGGACCTGTATGACGCGTATCAGGCCCAAGAGTCGGGGGCTGTAGAGTTGGGGAATGTCAGGGACACAGACACAGCAGCCACACGGAGAATAGATGACATCAGGTTCACACCTGACACTGACAACGTCCAGCACATCCTAGATGACCTACAGCTGGGGAAGATTGACGTCACATACCAGGATCAGGGCACATGTCTGCTGTCTCCAGTGCCTGATGACCAGACAGATGGGAGGATAGTGGGTGATAAGGAGGAGCCTGGGCTACGTGACGTCACAGTCCTGGTTGTAGATGGTTTACAGACATGTGTTGTCACTGACTACGACAACGAGTGTGTGAAATCTTTGTACACCAGAAACAACTTGACATGCCACAGTACACTTACCCTGGATGACTTTCCATGTCGTGTAACACAGTTGAATGAGAACCAGGTGATGGTTTCTGTCCCTGACATAAGGAAGATTGTAACAGTAGGAGTGACCCCTGACCTGGTGCTGCTCTCAACCATCACAACAAACAAGGAATACTACAGTCTCGCTGTTCTGAGTCCCTCATCTCTAGCAGCGGGTACTACCAAATGTGTTGATATCCTTGACATGGCAGGACACGTGCTGAGGTCAGTCACTACACACAACAATGAGACACTGTTTACCCAACCCTGGTACATGTGTGTGAACAACAAGGGCAACATACTCGTATCTGACCCGTGGAAGAAGTCTGTGACATGTCTGACGTCAGAGGGGGGTGTTGTGTGGAGATACGCCCCTACTGGAGACAGAGCACTCGACCCTTTTGGTATTTCAACTACTACAACTGGAGACATCCTGCTTGCAGGCAGTAACAAGGTGATACGGCTGACAGAGACAGGGGGTTATGTCACAGATCATCAGGATATTGGCTGTGATCCATATGGATTGTATGTAGATAGACATGACACACTGTATGTTTGTGGTGGAGATCAGATACACGAAGTCAACTTCATGTAGTCACATCAATAATTGCATGATTTCAATCATCACTATCGCTGGTGTTAAATTCACTATAACAACTCAAAATGGACTCTTCCGATTGGGGTGTTAATGATCATACAAAGGTGTATCCACATACATTATTTTCACATCATTACACATCACATTATGTGTTTAGCAACCTGCTTCTCTTTATTAAATCGCCTCCGTGTTCTAGTAAGTACGGTGTCGGCCGGGAAGGTGAAAAGCCCGTGGTTTGATCCCAATCAGCTCAAGAGATACCAATACTTCACTCTATTCTTAGTAGATATGATATGGTTTACTTGTTATTTAAGTGCTCACATTACTACTTGGACCTGTGGATGGTCACTTGATATATTGTTTTAATGACACTAATGAGTTCCCAACTCTTGAGACCATCAGTGGGTTCCCGGGTCGGGTTGGTTACCCGGGCTGTAGATTTGGACTCGTCCCAGGTCCATTCAGTAGCATGTTAGGTACGTGGTCCATTGCACCGTGGTCATAGATCGTTTTTACTTTACTAGATAGTAGATAGGGTGTTCCATGTAGGATGTTTGTGATGTCATGAAGTTTGTTTTGTGGAACGTTATGGTGAGCCACTTAATAACAAATAGCTCCTGCATCATACCTGTACGGAGGAACACTTCTACAATTGTGTAATTGTGTCCATATCTATAATGATTATAATAGTGTTGTAGGCATAGTTCATTTCATTGTTCAATTGTCAAAAAATAAACTGTAAGTGATTCCATGTTATTGTTCGGCTAAAAATGAAATTATTTTTGTGCGTCAGCTCCATAATCAGAGACCTAAATAGATTTAGTTTACTCTGCATAAACTGAACAAACATTAGGCCACGCACACCCTCGGATTTGTTTCATGACTGGCTGATAATAGAGTTGGCAGATCTTGTGTTGCACTATTGCCCTGTACAGTGTCATATTTTGAATCGTCTACTCTTTGTTTGTGTTTATGACTTAATAGACAGTCTTTGAAGTTGTTATTGTTGTCTTGTAAAATGTATTTTTGTGCTTAGAGGGGAATGCACACTTTGCGTTTTGTACGCGGATTAACGCATGGTATGGACACAAGTCTTTTTAGATTGATACCTCCATAAACACAATAAATATTGTTAAATTAATTCTTAAATAAATAAATTGCAAGTGAGTCCGTTGCATCAGATGGTTAACATTAATTAACATTATCCCTCGCCCACTAGCGAAATACTTGCGTGACGTCGTAGGAATTCGCGGTGGCTCGCCCGTGATATGCATAGCCCCCAGATTAAATAAAATCATTGAAGTCATTGACAGAAAACTTCAATCGATTTCTTTTACTTATTTGTACCGCACACATAATCATTGGATCGTTTTAAATAGCATTGACACTCAGCAAGAGCAGAATGTATTTTTCACAAATAAAAAACATGACCCTATACCATTGTCTGTCATGTACTTACACCTCCATAAACGCAAAAACATATTGAAGTAAATTCTTTATCCATAACTGGATTCCACAGGAGTTATCGCTACATTAAAGTTGCGTCACAATGTTTTGCAGACCAGTCTGACATCATCGGTTACCATGACGTCGCGATCAACTGACATACCTTTTCTCCCTGCCACTGAAGCTGGTCAGTTGTACTTTTTTACACTGGAGACATTTGATATTACTCTTTAAAGCTGAATAGGTTGGAAACAGAATCTCACCTCGTACACTTATTTTGTTAGCCATTAGGGCTGGGTTAGGTGGGTCCTGGGTTGGATCTGGGCACCCACAAGATTACCCGGACCCGTAGTTAGTCACGTGCTATATTGTTTAATAACAATAAAACTCCATGGCTACACCGAAAATCACTAATGTGTCATATTTCTTTCTGACACTCCACGTATTCCTTCTGACATTTATATATCTGAGTAAAGGTAAAGCTTCAGTCAGTTTCAGTGTATGCATGATCAGTTCGTACATACATGTATCCAAAGGGTTTTTGCCAGGGCTCCGGTAAAACATTTCTAATCAGGCATTTTCTACCCTACTCGAATCCTACAGCAGGTTCCCTGGTCGGGTCAGGTCAGGATGTAGGGTACCTGGGTAGGGTCAGGTAATAGGGGGTCGGGAACCTGGGTAGGGTCAGGTAATAGGGAGTCTGGTACCTGGGTAGTAAATTTGGACTCATCTCAGGCCTAGTAGCCATCTACCTGTCTGTTCAGGTTCGAATTATGTTTTCAACCTGTTTAATGTATGAGTCTGAAATATTATGAGCATATCATGACGCTAAAACCAAAGTGTTAGGTTTGAAAAAGACATCATAATTGTTGACAATCTTTGAGAATATTTTAACAAAGCACACGGTCAAGGAATCTTGAACAATTATATGACGTCTAACAACACAATTCGATTTGTGCATGCAATTATAATAACTTTTATTCACTTTATTTTTTACTTGTTCTTACATAACTCTCCCTATAGCACAGATCCGTCATGGAATGTATCTCAATACTGCACGTATGGGAAAGGTTAAGTCATTGTGCCGTCACACACAACTACAACAAAACAACTAAACAGGTGTTTGCATTACGTGCTAAAATGCAAGCAAACCCACGCCAACCTTATCTTATATGTCTCTAACGTATTCGCCACCAGCAACAATATATCCAGAAGCATTTGGACTTCAACAAAATAGGTGACAGCTGACCTCACCAATATCTGTGTTCGTCTTTCAGCCATAACGTTATCTAGTGCAGGACAACTTTAAAGGACAACAACACTCCAATGTTGAAAGTATTGAAAAAAGGATGGCTTTTTCTTCACAGATTCAGAGTTTCCATATAATGGACTATAATCTTGACTTGTTTGACTTGCTTATTGGAATCTGCTGAGTAAGTGAGTTTAAATTTAACGTCCCATCAGAAAGTTGGGGTATTGTTGCCCTTTTAAAGTCAGAAAGTCACATGCCTCTAGCTTCATTTATAACAAAGGGTCTATAACATATGTTATAAGGGTGTGTTTGAGAAAACAAATTGTGACAGTGTATTAATCCTGCACAAGAGACTCACTGTATATGTTGACGAAAACGAACTCATGATAATATGATAATCAAGACGGGTTAAGGAATTGACGAGTTGTAAAAATAAGAGCCAAAATAGTTCGAATGACTTATTTACGTGTTTACTATGTTTATAAACAAATTTGAAACCTCACATCATGGTCAGCCTTCGACGGGCTTCGTCTATCAGGAAACAGGGCTTGCTGATGTTTCAGCATATAAACACATACAATGTATTTTCTCATGCTAAAGTTAACAGTAAAAATATATAACTTGGAACTCCTCATTCAATTTCCACTTTATGCTTGTTACAGTCACAATTCCCGGATTATAATTTCTCGTGAACGTGATTCTTTAACGTACACGTAGACACTTCGTGATGCACAGATTGTTGACGATTAGCATTGCAGGCACATCTCTGAGATGTCCATACTGATATTAAAGTGTAGCTAATGTAGTTCGCTGTGCACGTGAACTTGGCTAGCGTCGTGAACAAGGTGAAGGTTATTCAGTTAGGGATATAGCCCGTATGACAAGTATATCTCTGTTTGCTTAGATATCTTTAAATATTATGTGAAACATTACTGAAATAAGATCAATTGAATTTTAATACGATTTTAATTCGACGAAGGCCAGTAACATATCAGCGAAAGGTATCTCTGCATGAGACGTGAAGTAACACAGTGAAAGTGAACAGCATATATCCTTGCCTACCCGAGAAACGTCCCCGACGCATTTTCGTTTTTAAATCTACGAAAGGACGTTTAACCTTACTGCAACATTTTATACAATTTGTCCTAAAAACCCATAAGTATCTCCCTCACTTACCCACAGTGTTGATCCAACGTACCAGGTTAACCCTACCATAAGACTCAGTTGAAAGATATATGTCATGCAAGGAGGAGCATAAACACGTTTATCTCATAGATAACATTAGTACTCTGAGTAACACAAGTAGATCACATGGTTGGGCGTATACTGATCTTGTGACTGGAGAGATATCATATCAACACAGGACAGGGGACAACTTAGAGGTAGGTTTGGTGTTGGTACGTGACATAACATGGAATAATTCCGTAATATATAAATCCTTCCCTTACACATTATTAATAGACATTTGTTAATATTTAAGATTGGTCGATGTTTCGCTAGCACCGCCAAAGTATATATTTTGGGGGTAAATGATTTAGGAAGAGATAAGACGTTAAATATATATTTTATTATTTATAGCCAACCGGAGATCAAGAAGTGTAAGTAATTTTCTAACGGGTCGACCCGCAGCCCTCAGTAGAGACATATAGACCAACTGTTTCTATACTATGAAGGGATGAGGCGATACGGTAACCGCCGCTAGATAGTTGCAGAGAGTGAACTCTGGTCCTACTGTGTACACAGAACTGCGACTGTACGTTCGCTGTTGATAGGCTCTTGACATTACAATACTCATAGGAGAACTGGCAAGGTAATTGCAAGTGTCTTTTGAAAACATTTGTTATCGTAGCTCTTGCCGTTGGAAACACCCATTTCATGACCAGACCCTGATACTCGTATCTTCCTTTGTTGTATTTCATATATGAACAGTTTTTATCAAAATCGCATAAAGCTGCAGTAATGGTGCATTATCCTTTTTTCAAGCACACCAGTGTATGTCCTGCCTTCATACAACAACCTGTCAGTTCAACGCAATCTGTCATGCCAGCATTGGATGCTGTAACATTTATGCAAAATATTTTCACAAAAATGACCTCGCATTAACAATTCCTGTATAAGAAGTTGATTTGTACCAGTATATAATGACATGTATAGCTAACACATGCATATATGTATTCCCCATGAAGATCGGGGTTAGAATGGGTCTTCGGCAATCAATGCTTGTCGTATTGTGTCATGTCATCGTGTCCTAATTACCTAGATCGATGCTCATGATGTCAGTCACAACCTTGTTTGGTCCAGACGCGATAATGTACAGATCGCCGTCATATAACTGGAATAGTTCCGAGTGCGGCGTTCAACAACAAACACAACAAAACGCTTGTAGAGGATAATACATGATTGTGTTTCCGTATCATAAATATCAAAATTTATAGAATAAAAGTTGAATTGTTCGACCCTGTAACGAGCATACAACACATTCCTCATATTTGATCTTTACGATTCGGAATCACACGAAGGTAATCTTTTTACCCTGACATGTCATTTTTACAATAATCTCGATCAATGATGTTCAATTTTTCAACCTGATCTCACTCAGCTTCAGAAACCGTGTATGAATATAGTGTTTGAGTGAAGTGTCCCATTTATCATATGGTGATTTACAGCCATGTTTGTCGATATGATTATCCACATATCGGGAAGAAACTTTCGTCTATAGGTTACAGATGAAGCAGATATTGAATCGATGTATGGAGATTAAAAGTTGTACCTGCTCGCTGACCATTCGCACGTTAATGGGATCATGATACCAAATATGACATGACACAGGACACAGCTGGCAACCACATGCACAATACTGTTATAGGCCACAGCGTCACTATCTCTCCAGCTATAAACTGGTGACACAGTGCAGGCCTCGTTATCTCAGGTCAGGCTAGTTGCTTGATGCATATCATCGTATCCCAATGACGTGGGTCGATCCTCATTATGTCAATAACTGGATTGTCTGGTACAGACTCGATTGTTTACAGGCTGCCGTCATATAGTTGGAATATTGCTGAATGCAGCGAATGCAGGGATAATTAAGACAAATGTTTGAATGTTTTTACAATCCTTATTTGGTTGATATAAGAATTCATGTTGCCAACTAAAACAAACAATTAATTTTAGCTAGCTTCTCAGCTGTTTCGTTTCATGTTTCTTCCAGTCTCACACATATATAAATGAGCGTTCAGTTGTTTTTATGTAGGGTCATAGGAGATATTGAAGTAGGATATCATTATTCAACAAATACAGCATAAATCCATAGTTATATTTATCAACACGTTTTAAAGCACAGCTGTCCATCGAAGAGTGACCCTTCAGCATGACAATGCAACTCAACATCTGTTTTGATCAATGAGACGTCCCCATTGGGTTACATTCTTCACTCCCAGACTCAAGTGTAAATTTGTATTTGTAAACGCAGCCTACCGTGAGATAAATACTCATTCAGCCAGCATATACCTACTCATGGAGATGACACTATCTCAATAGATATATGGAAAGGAACACCGTCCTGTAGAAGTAAATAGGGATATTCCTTCATCGCACAGATCCTAACTCGATCAGGGCCATGTATCATTACATCAATAAATCATGAAGGAATAGTAAAACACGTAAATATATACGTTAAATCTCGTGTATTGAAATCAGTAAATGCTATCATGCTAATAGTATCAGAGGCTAAACATCAGTAATCATACGTACTGAGGGAAACAAGTATAAGATTACCTGTAGGGTATCGCACGTGCCACATATGCATGTTTTGTGTTCATGTAAAACGAAATAAGAGATTATTCAGCATGCAGTGAACATATATGATACTAACATTACACTCCGTGACTTCGATTAGTGATCTGATGCTTCTGACAACAACAGTATATATGGCTTGTTTAATTTATTTTTTATAACATGCGGAGGCCCCAGGAATCCTGCTGGTGTAAGAGTGGTATAACACCTACACCTGTTTCTCGAGCTTAAGCTGTTTACTTGACGGTGTGTTGATCTGCCCGTTAACATTACTTAGAAACACTGGTCAGATTTATATTTACGTTTCATGTTAGAAAGAGTTAATTTATCTGTGGTATATTTTTTATCTAAAAGATTTGTGGCATGTGAATCACCACAACTGGTATATAGCTGCTAGCCCAAACTCTCCCTCACGCATGCAACCTTTTATTTCTTGTGCTGACATAAACGTCAAACGAGTGTGTATAACATCCTAGGATATAACAAAAATACTGTTTAGAGTGTGTACTGTCAGTTTATATTGACATGTGCCGATCTCTCACGTTGTTATAGGAATCATCCTGAATTCGACCCAGGAACCTACGTTGTCATCAGTTTTGATCTCTCATGAATCACCACTAGTCGAGATTTCGCAGTTGCGTTCCTTAGTATGTCATGCGGAAGGGACAGGTTGCCACAGGTGTGTACCATGGCGGGATTACGTTATTTCAAGGTAATAAAAAAATGTAAAGCATATTGATGTATATTTCTTTTATTGTTATGGGTTTTACAAATGTTTGACATTCAGGTTAACAAAGTCATTCGTCGACGTGTAAAAATGACACAATAGAGATATGTTGACTTGGTCCTGAATACTAACGTTCACAGTTACCTCCCTTGTATTGTGACTGTGAGGGGGGCGTGTCTACAACCAGTAAAGCAAGGCTTGGTTGGTGTTGACGGAGGTGGATTAAAGGTCATAAATACAAGACCCTATTGGTAGTTGTTTTAGAGTTAGCTTTCATTATATAAAAACAAATGCGCCTTTGAATCAATGACGTTTGAGTTTACTGCCTCATCTACATGAGAGAAGTTGACATCAAATCTCATCTCACATGATCACAATACATTCATATATTCAGTTTCGGTTCAACTATTCTAGGTAAATCCTCTTTTGTGTGGAAACAATGATCGAGCCTGTTCTTATGACAGAATTCATGAAAACTATAATGTAGGAACATATTTTATTGAAACAATAGTATAAACAAATACATAGGCACGCGCTTCTGAAACACCTTGTTTGACATGAAGTCAAGATATGTAGAATCTGTTATTCGTGTAGCACTATGGAAGGATCGATGTGGTTATTTTTGTGACAAGAAATTATATGTAAACGACTCAATCATGGATTTACAGAGGCGTTACAGCAAACTAAGTGGTGCACACAAGTTAATGATGGAGTAAGTTTGGTGTAATGCCGCTTAATGCAGTATTTCAGTTATACCATCGTGTGTCAGCTTGATATGGAAGGTTAGCCCGAAGTCGCACTCTAGAAATGTTATTGTCTCAAACAAAACACATGTAACGCCATTACAAAGACGGAACATCTTCAGCTGAAATTATTTCTTGGAAAAGTGAACAGTTATTTATGTTTTACAGATGGCGACGGCACGAGCTAAGTAAGTTACAGAATTCCTCACCTGTGTGATCTGCCAGGAACTGTACACAGACCCCTGTACACTGAGGTGTGATCACACATTCTGCAGGAAATGTGTCACAGGATACATCCAAACCAGACCAGATGCTGTACAGTCCAAGACGATCCCCTGTCCCTGCTGTCAACAAGATACAAAGGTCCCCCACCCAAGCAGGCCCGTGGCAGAGTGGGCCACCAAGATCAAACCCAGCATCATTATACAGGGGCTGATTGACATTCAAGCTGAGGTTGTCAAAACAGGTAATGGTTTATTATATTATGAATTACACATTCATTTCACAAACTGAAATCTAGTAATAAGAATCATGTTTGTAATGAAGGCGTGTTAAAGGGTACTCATTATTTGTTTTAAACATGCAGTATAATTACAGTACTGCTGTTAACAGTATGTTAAATGATACCAATTGACTCCACTAAACGACTCCAGAAAATATACATTTGTTACAAACATGACTTAACTGTAATCACAGCAAAGAAATATTTACAATATATGTTGACGTCAGGACAATGTTCCAGCGATATCACTGCGGGGGACTGCTGATTATTATCGGTTTACATGATGCTAATATAATCAGATCATCCATTAAGCACTTGAAAATATTGTTATCGGAAAACATCTACAAATGGCAGTGCCAGGTTTATAATAGTGAGTGAGTGAGTGAGTGAGTATGTATTTTTCAGCAATGTTGAAGCGATATCACTGCGGCTTCACACATTATACTCATGTGGGGATTCAAACCTGGCTAACACTTACAGCACTAGGCTTCCCCACCGCCCATGATAATAGTGATCAGAACTGTACACTTATAAGTGCAATTGTACCTGTTGAAACTACATGTACATAACTGGGTGAATGAGTTCAGTTGTACGCCACTGCCAATCATGCCAATATCGGGCTTCACACATCAAACCCTTGGGCGTGACGAGCCAACACTTAATCTCCAAGCCTACACCCACCGCCCTATTCGTGCATTGAAAATAGGTGAGAGGGGTAGATTTTACCTGGATTATCAATCTTCTAATTTATATAAATATTGTCCTGATATGTTAAATAACTATAGACATGTCCACTTACAGGTTCCGCTTCATGTTGCTCAGTGTGTGAGAAGTTAGGGGAGACAACTCCGGGAGCTTCATGGTGTTCTGAGTGTCAAGTGTCCCTCTGCAAAAGATGTGTCAAGATACATCGTGCAAGTCCAGCATCATATGACCATGAAATATGTGACCTTTCAGGGGAGGTCAAGGTGAAAACGAGACGCAAGGTCGTGTGCAGGGAGCATAAGGATGAGGTTATAAAGCTTGTGTGTAAAGACTGCCACAAAGCTGTGTGTCAGACATGTTGTGTTGTTTACCATAGGAAATGTGAGTCTGTCGTTACCATTCAGTCAATGTTGCCAAACCTGAAATACCATTTAAGAAGGCATGCTAAACAGTTATCAAAGAAAATACACAGAAAAGAAACAATTGTTAAGAAAACAGACGAGAAAATTAGCGGAATTGAGAAAAACAAAATAGCAGTAGAAAATCAAATTAAATCTGCTGTTGAGAGAGCCATAGCCAACATCAAGCAGAAAGGAAAACTGTTGATGAATGAATTCAAGGATATTACAGACAAACAAACCAAGGAACTTAAGGCAGATGTTAAACTTGAAGAGATTGAGATGCAGATGTACAAACAACATTGTGAGTTCATTGACCAGGCCTTGGTATCGGAATGTGAGATGAACCTGTATGACGCCTATCAGACTTGGGAGTCGGGGGCTGTAGAGTTGGGGGATGTCAGGGACACAGACACAGCAGAGACACGGAGAATAGATGACATCAGGTTTACACCTGACACTGACAACGCCCAGCACATCCTAGATGACCTACAGCTGGGGAAGATTGACGTCACATACCAGGATCAGGGCACATGTCTGACGTCTCCAGTGCTGGTTGACGTGATAAATGGGAGAATGGCGGGTGATGAGGCGGAGCCTTATCTACCTGACATCACAGTCCTGGTTGTAGATGGTATACAGACATGTGTTGTCACTGACTTAAATAACAAGTGTGTGAAATCCTTCTACACTAGAAACAACTTGACATACCACAGTAAACTTCCCCTGGACGACTCTCCCTGGGGAGTAACACAGTTGAAGGAGAACAAGGTGATGGTTGCTGTCCCTGACATAAGGCAGATTGTAACAGTAGAAGTGACCCCTGACCTGGTGCTGCTCTCAACCATCACAACACGCAAGTGGTACGTCAGTCTCGCTGTTCTGAGTCCTTCATCTCTAGCAGCAGGTAATTCGGACTGTGTTGATATCCTGGACATGGGGGGACACGTGCTGAGGTCAGTCACTGCACACAACAATGAGACACTGGTTACACACCCCTTCTACATGTGTGTGAACAACAAGGGCAACATACTCGTGTCTGACTCTGTGAAGAAGTCTGTGACATGTCTGACGTCAGAGGGGGATGTTGTGTGGAGATACGCCCCTACCGGAGACAGAGAACTCGACCCTTATGGTATCTCAACTATTCCAAGAGGAGACATCCTGGTTGCAGACACCAGTAAGGTTACAAGGCTGACAGAGACAGGGGGTTATGTCACAGATCATCGGGACATTGGCTTTGATCCACTGGGATTGTATGTAGATAGACATGACACACTGTATGTGTGTGAAGAAAGTCAGATACACGAAATCATCTGGAGGTCAAATACACGAAGTAAACTTCATGTAGTCACATCAACCACTGCATGATTTCAATCATCACTATCACTGGTGTTAAATTCATTACAACAACTCAAAATGGACTCTTCCGATTGGGGTGTGAATGATCATACAAAGGTGTATCCACTGACATTATTTCCACATCATTACACATCACATTATGTGTTTAGTAACCCGTTTCTCTTAATTAAACCGCCTCCGTGTTCTCGTGAGAATGCTGTCGGCCGGGAAGGCGAAAAGCCCGTGTTTTGATCCCAATCTGCTCAAGAGATACCAATACTTTACTCTATTCTTAGTAGATATGATATGGTTTACTTGTTATTGAAGTGCTCACATGACTACCTGGACCTGTGGATGGTCACTTGATATATTGTTTAATGACACTAATGAGTTCCCAACTCTTGAGACCATCAGCGGGTTCCCGGGTCGGGTTGGTAACCCCGGCTGTAGATTTGTCCCAGCTGCAGTTAGTACCATGTTAGGTACGTGGTCCATTGCACCGTGGTCATGGAATGTTTTTAATTTACTAGATAGTAGATAGGGTGTTCCATGTAGGATGTTTGTGATGTCATGAAGTTTGTTTTGTGGAACGTTATAGTGAGCCACTTAATAACAAATAGCTCCTGCATCATACTTGTACGGAGGAACACTTCTACAATTGTGTAATTGTGTCCATATCTATAATGATTATAATAGTGTTGTAGGCATAGTTCATTTCATTGTTCAATTGTCAAAAAATAAACTGCAAGTGATTCCATGTCATAGTTTGGCTAAAAATGAAATTATTTTTGTGTGTAAGCTCCATAATCAGAGACCATAAAATAGATTTAGTTTACTCTGCATAAACTGAACAAACATTAGGCCACGCACACCCTCGGATTTGTTTCATGACTGGCTGATAATAGAGTTGACGGGTCTTGTGTTGCACTATTGCGCTGTACAGTGTCATATTTGGAATCGCCTACTCTTTCTTTGTGTCAATGACTTAATAGACAGCCTTTGGAGTTGTTATTGTTGTCTTGTAAAATGTATTGTTGTGCTTAGAGGGGCATGCACACAATAAAAATTGTTAAGTTAATTCTTAAATAAATAAATTGCAAGCGACTCCTTTGCATTAGATTGGTTAACCTAAAATAACATTAGCCCACGACAACTAGCGAAATACTTGCGTGACGTCGTAGGAATTCGCGGTGGCTCGCCCGTGATATGCATAGCCCCCAGTTTAAAAAAAAATCATTGAAATCATTGAAAGAAAACTTCAATCGATTTCTTTTACTTATTTGTAGCGCACACATAATCATTGGATCGTTTTAAATAGCATGTACACTCAGCAAGAGCAGAATGTATTTTTCACAAATAAAAAACATGACCCTATACCATTGTCTGTCATGTACTTACACCTCCATAAACGCAAAACATATTGAAGTCAATTCTGAATCCATAACTGGATTCCACAGGAGGTACCGCTACATAAAAGTTGCGTCACAATGTTTTCCAGACCAGTGTGATATCATAGGTTACCATGACGTCACGATCAACTGACATACCTTTTCTCTGTGCCACTGAAGCTGGTCAGCTGTAATTTTTTACACTGGAGAAACTTGATATTACTCTTTACCGCTGAAAAGGTTGGAAGAATTCTAAACAGAATCTCACCTCGTGCACTTCTGTTGTTAGCCATTAGGGCTGGGTTTGGTGGGGCCTGGGTTGGATCTGGGCACCCACAAGATTACCCGGACCCGCGGTTATATTATTCACGTGCTATATTGTTCAATAACAATAAAACTCCATGGCAACACCAGAAATCACTAATGTTTCCTATTTCTTTCTGACGATCCACGTATTCTTTCTGACATTTATATATCTGAGTAGAGGTAAAGATTCAGTCAACCTCAGTGTGTGCATGATCAGTTCGTATATACATGTATCTCAAGGGCTCCAGTAAAACATTTCTAATCAGGCATTTTCTACCCTACTCGAATCCTACAGCAGGTTCCCTGGTCGGGTCAGGCCAGGTTGTAGGGAACCTGGGTAGGGCCAGGCAATAGGGGGTCGGGTACCTGGGTAGGGCCAGGCAATAGGGGGTCGGGTACCTGGGTAGGGTCTGGCAATAGGGGGTCGGGTACCTGGGTAGGGTCAGGTAATAGGGAGTCGGGTACCTGGGTAGGGTCAGGTAATAGGGAGTCGGGTACCTTGGTAGGGTCAGGTAATGGGGGTTCGGGTACCTGGGTAGGATCAGGTAATAGGGGATCGGGTACCTGAGTAGGGTCAGGTAATAGAGAGTCGGGTACCTGGGTAGGGTCAGGTAATAGGGGTTCGGGTACCTTGGTTGGGTCAGGTAATAGGGAGTTGGGTACCTTGGTAGGGTCAGGTAATAGGGGGTCG